TTTTCCAGGGCGGGGCGGGAGGGTTCAACTTTTGGGAGGGGCCCCCTTTGGAAGAGAATCCCTGGGTCCACCCGCCAGGTGGGCCAGCGCCCCCTCCCCCCAAGGAAACCCTTTTTTAAAGAAACAAAGGGCAGGCCCCCCTTCTAAGGGGCAAAGGGCACCCGGGGGGGGGGGGGGGGCCCGGGGAGCTAACGCCTGGCCCTGGGCTGGAGCTGAATTGTGAGTCCAGGCTGAGCTTGCCCAGGGGATGTGCCCTGCAGGGCGCTGTTACCATGGTGAAAGGGCCACAGAGGAGGATCATAGGAACTTGGGCACCACAGCCAAGCGGGAGCTGTGCCCCGGCTTGAGGCCCAGGTCTTGCTGTGTGATTTTCAACAGGTCATCTAACCTCTCTGACTCAGTTTCCACATCTGAAATAAGGGGATAAATATTCATTAAAACTCCAGATAAACATGCCGAGGAGTCCTGAGTAACTATGACACAGCCCCGGGCCCGGGGAAGCTCGAGTTCATTTCTTGTCCTGGCCAGCGCCTCGCTTTGGACCAGGGACAGTGAGTCCCTGCGGCCTGGCCAGCTGCTGACCCACGGGCCTCCCCATCCATCCTTGCTGAGTGGGGCTGGAGACGTTTGCACGTCGAGTGGTCCAGCTTACTTTAAATCTATCATTATACCAAATAGTACTTTCAAAGGTAGAATCTTACTCTGCTTTGTTATTACGAAACTTACTCCATAATAAAAAGAATCCGTAACATTTATACACTTGGTTTAAACATGTCTTAGTCACCACCCCTCCCCACCGCGCTCTCAGCTACATCAGACCTTTATAGGGTGAGAGCCAGCAGCTGACAGCTCCATGCGGGGAGGGTGCAAAAGGCCCAGCCGGGGCGGGGCACCGGGGCTGGAGCCATGGTGGCCACGGAGGATTTCAGGCCCCGGGCTTCACGGGCCTTGCAGGCACCATGGAGGGCACAGGCCAGAACTCAGGTGACCTGGGAATTGTGCGGACACTGGGCTGATACCACGGCCAGCCGCAGCCAGACGGCAAGGACTGGAAGGAGCAGAGGACCTGGCATCAGGCCCGGGAGACGCTGGGCAGTGAGGAGAGAGCCCGTGACTGGCTTTCCGGCCCCGGGAGCTCCAGCCACACAGTCCTCTCCCACGGGGCACCCGCCTTCTCACCTTTCCCCAGAGTTCCGCGCGCCACCACCCCCCCCCGCCCTCCGCCGCACATCAAGACCCAACTCCGGCCACATTTTCCAACACCCTCAAGTCACCAGAGAGGGAACCCCATTCTGCCCTGACACCATCTGTCCCCCCACCCCCAGGGCTCAGTGGAGGGTGAACGGGCTGGAAACCCCATGCCCATAGGAGCCACTGGATGTTCCGTGAAATGGCGAGGATCTCCTGGCAGCACACGCTCTTGCAGAAGATCCTCGTCCTGGGGCGAAAGGGGGCGCTCTAATTCGTGTCCCATCGGGCCTGGGACCTTGTTTAGAGACAACACCTTTGCAGGTGTGAGCCAGCTCAGTTGAGGTCACACTGGAGAGGGAGGGTCCTGACCCAGTGACCGGTGTCCCTATAAGAAGAGGAGAAGAGGCCCAGGGGAGCAGCCATGTGATGGTGAGCACAGAGAGTGAGTGATGCAGCCACAGCCAGGAGCCCCCAGGAGCCCCCGGGAGCAGGAAGAGGCAGGAAGGACCCCCCTGGAGCCTTCTGCAGGAGTCCGGGCCTGTCAACACCTCAGTGTTGGACTTCTGGCCCCCAGAACTGTGAGGGAATGGGTGTCCGTGGTTGAAGCCGCCCAGCCTGTGGTCCTTTGTTACAGCCGCCCCAGGACACTGGCACGTCCCGCGCGGCACCGCTCTGTCCTTTTCTACACTAATGGCCTGCACTGCCGCTCTCCCGCGGCTAAACCCCCACCCACTGTTTTCAGAACTGCCGATGTGCCCTTCCCAGCCGCCCTATCGGTGCAAGGAGCCCGCTTCTTCATCGGCAGCCGGAGGAGGACCAAAGGCCTGTTCACGGTGAGTGTGGAGGGGCTGCCTGCCTGGCCTCCCCACGCAGTGTTCACAGAGGGGCTGTCACCACAGGCCTGCTGTCCCGATGCTCCGGCTCCACAGATTGTGTGTGTCAGACAGGAATGAGGAACACGAGGCTCAGGGGAGTCCCACACACGCCAGGCACACCTGACACAGGCCTTTGCACTCCCTGTCCCCTCTTCCTGGCCCACCTGGCCCCTTTACTGCCACGGCTCACACCCTCCACCCTCAGGGCCCTGCCCCATGTCCTCTTACCACGGAGGCCTTTCCCACCACTCTGAGAAGATGACCCCACACCCAGCCCTCCCAGATCCGACCCCTGGCTCTTCATCGTAGCCCTGACCACCTTCAGGCCAGCTGTGTGTTTGCTCATTGTCTGTCTCTCTCCTAGAGTGGAGGTGGGGGAGCCTTGTTCCCTGTGTGTCCTTGTCTAGAAACATGCCTGATGTATAGCAGGTGCTCTGTGATTATTCACTGATGTCATGTTGGCTGGCTGGATGGGTGAATGGGTGGATGAATGGGTGGATGGATGGATGGATGGATGGATAGATGGATGAATAGGTGGGTGGATGGATGGATGAATGATTGGATAGATGTATGGTTGGATGGATGGTATATGGATAGATAGATAAATGAATGGATGGGTGGATGGATGGATGGTTGGATGGATGGGTGAATAGACAAATGAATGGATGGGTGGATGGATGGGTAGATGGATGGACGGATAGATAAGCAATGTTGGCCAGTAACTCTAGATTCGTCCACAGGAAAGTCCCTTTGTGGTTCAGTGACCTCAGAAGAGTGTCTAGCTCTCCACTGATGCACCCAATGCCCCCCCCATAACTTATATGCAGACTCTTCCCTCCTAGCTCTAGAGTGGTTAGCCCCCACAGCATTTCCACCGTCTCCCAGGGTCTGAACACACTGTCCCTCTCTCCGCAGGGCCTGGTCAGGCAGCTGGTCCTGCTGCCCGGCTCCGACGCCACTCCCAGGCTGTGTCCCTGCAGGAATGCGGAGCTCGTGCTGTCCATCCCCCCAATCCTGCAGGGTCTCACGGGGAAGCCAGAGGACAATGAGGTGCTGAAATATCCCTATGGTTAGTAAGCCAGGCCACCTGCTCCCCCTCAGAGTCTGCTTCCTCTGGAGCCTCCACTTCCACCTGCTGCCTGCTTTGTCCCCAGAGCAGCACTGGGGGCCCTTTCTCCTCATCCCTCCCCGAGAGACACCACACCTCAGCCCCTGCCCCAGTGGGGGCCCCACCTTCGCAGGATATGTTTCTATTTTCCGTGAACCCCCTGCCCAGAGGGTCCCCAGCTCTGTTTTTTTAGTTTCTGTTTGCACCTTCCCAATCTAAAGGTACAATGGTGACTATTTATTATTTTAAAAAATATGGTTTTATTGATTTAAGAGAGAGGAAGGGAGAGGGAAAGAGAGATAGAAACATCAATGATGAGAGAGAATCATTGATTGGCTGCCTCCTGCACGCCCTACACTGGGAATCAAGCCCGCAACTCAGGCATGTGGCCTGACCGGGAATCGAACCGTGACCTCCTGGTTCATAGGTCGACGCTCAGCCACTGAGCCATGGTGGCAGGGCTATTGACAATTTATGTAAACCACAGCCCCTGCCAGGGAGAATCCAACCCCCTCACCCATCCACCTAACCCCCCACTATTCGGGGAGGTGGGAGGACAACCTGGCCCTCTCCCAGCTTCACTGGGCACACCCCCGACCTTGAGCGGGTGACACTGAGAGCCAGTCCTGTAACTGTGTTTTCAAGCCCCTGGGCAGGAGGCCTCTGGGCATCTTCCTCAGGAGACATGGACCGCTGTAACCGCCGGGGTTCCCAGGGGGCCGGACTCGGCCCCCAGGCCTCTGCCCCAGGCTGCGAGGGTCAAGGGCGTGGGCAGTGTCACAGCCTGGCCTCGGGCCTGGGCCACAGGGCAGCTATCACTCTGAAGTGGCCGAGTAGCTCATTAGGACGTGTGTGTTTGACCTGAGATGGAGGCATAATTCCAAGGAGAGATGGGCTCAAAATGCCACCGAACTAAGCAAAAGGGAAGTTTAGATAAACTCATGCCCATTGGTCACAGATGTGGGAGGTGAGAAGGCATGCCGTAGTCACGAGGATTTCCAGAAGAGCAGGCGGTCCAGGGGGCGGTGGACATACTGCCCTGGAGCCACAGGGAGCTTTACCCGTCCTGCCACGCAGACGCCCTGGGGCGGGCCACGCGCCCTGGGTCTCCCTGCCTCCTGGGACCCGTTTAAGACCCTGAGTGGGTCCTGGAAGCCCAGCTTCAGGGACAAAGGCAGGACCGCCTCCTCCAGGGAGTTTGTTTCCACTGGACACTCACCAGACACTTCCTGTCTCCCCCAGAAACCGACATGAAGGTGACGCTGGGATCCCGGCCTCCGTGCACCAAAGTGGAGGATGCCCAGTTCTGGTTTGACGCCGGGCAGAGGGGGCTGTACCTGTGCGTGGGCAGCGAGTGGGTCTCCGTGCTGGCAGGTGAGGTGGAGAGGGGGGTCATGGCTCCCGGGGCTCTGGAGACTTAGGGGCTCTGCTCAGAGTCAGCGTTACCTGAGAATAGGAGGCACCCCCACTCAGAGAGCAAGCCCCCATGTTTCCTCTGGAACCATGCGCCCTCCTGGGCACACAGGCTGGCTGGCAGGGCTCGTCACCTCCCCTCATCCCTGTCCAGGGAAGAGCTCGGGGCTCCCTGGAGCCAGCATCCCTCGGGGGGGCCCTGCCCACTCTCCCTCCTCGCACCCTGCCTGCGCTCAGGTCATAGATTCAGTGTGACGATGCCAGGGGCCCGAGGGCATTATTGCTGCAGCAAGCCTTGCGGCTATCCGTTCCTTTCTTTTTTTTTTATTCTCACCCAAGGATATTTTTTCCACTGATTTTTTTAGAGAGTGGAGAGGAGTGAGGGGGATGGGGGAGGAGAGAGAAACATCCATGTGAGAGACACATCGACAGGTTGCCTCTCATTCACACCCAGACCAGGGCCAGGGATTGAGCCTGCAGCCGAGGTATGTGCCCTTGACTGGGAATAGAACCTGAGACCCTTCGGTCCACGGGCTGATGGTCTAACCACTGAGCAAGCCGTCCAGGGCTACATTCCTGGTGTGGGAAGGGGGAGTGAGGTAGCCCTGGGTGTCCTCAGAAGGGGACCAGCTCCAGCGGGACTGCTCTCGAGCTCCTGGCTCCACCCTCTGGGTCACCTTAGGGGACAGCCTTTTGTAGCCGCAGTGAGCCTGGGAGATGTCCCATAAGGACCCAACACATCGGGTCCCCCCAGTGAGTACCACTGGGGGCCTGCCGGACCCTGAAACCCACACAAGCCGAGTGGGCTTCTTGGCAGGCCTCTGGTGGTGAACAGGCGCTCTGAGCAAATTGCCCGTGCCCCACGCTAATGCCCCGGGGTCACGGCTCAGGGCCTGGGGTGCTGCTCCCAGGAGGGTGCCTCCAGGCTTCCGTGCTGGGAAACGCTGACCATAACCCGTCTCCGTGTCTCTCTCACAAGCCAAAGAGAGGCTGGACTACGTGGAGGAGCACCAGCGCCTCTTCACGCGCTCGGAGACGCTGGGCATCGAGGTCTTCGTCATCCCCGAGGCCGGGCTCTTCATAGCAACCGCCAATCGGAAGGCCACGTCCGCCATCTACAAGTGGACCGACGGGAAGTTCGCCTCGTACCAGAGCATCCGCACACACCAAGCGCAGTCCTGGAGGCACTTCACCATCGGGAAGAAGGCAAGTCGGCGTTCGTGACCCTCTCGTCCTTTTAAAGTTGCAGAGTCCGGAGGTTGGGCTCCTGACATGGCTTCTCCAGGAAAACGTGTTTCTCGAGGCTCCAAGGCCTTTGTCAGATTCCAGACGGCTTCCCGGTCAGACACCTGGCTGCGTCTCTATTCCCAGACGGGGCCTGAGAAAGTCTGCTCAGCTTCCGACACACTAGGAAAGGCCATTGCTAAGATGCCGCCCGGGTCTGTGCAGACCCTCATTGCTAACTTAGAACCCTGTGGAGGTCATTTGACTTGGACCCGTCAACAAGGCAGGAGCCATGAGAGAATGCAACAGATCCGCCCGCCCGATTCTGCCTTTTCCCCCCGAAACACGCATGCCGGGTACAGCCCTGCCCCCACCTGGACCCACCCACTGGGGGTACAGCAGTGAGCAAGCAGACAAGCCCCTGCCCCCCTGTGTCTGGCAGCCCACCATGGTTCTTATGCCCGATCCAACATGGTGAATGAATGACTTGCTCTCTGGTTATTTGGTTGATGATGTTTTAAAGGTGCTTATGTTTTAATTATCAAAAATAATAACTTTACACAAAAGAAAAATAGGGAAATTTGGAAAAACAAGGAGGAAATCATCTGTCCGGTTGCCTAAGCAGATGCAGGACTTACCTGGGCATTCTGGCTCCTAGTTCCAGCGCGCACGCCCTACAGGCCAAGCTCCTGGCCCCCGTTAGAGCCACATAAGCGCACGATCATGCCCGCTGGTCACGTCACACGTAGGGGGTTTCTGTGTCCTACTCGGCTGCGTGGCAAACACCACTTTCTGGAGGTGGGGGGGAGTGGGAGTAGGGCATTACGGCCTTTCCTACTCCCGTGGGTGATGAGGAACACTTTTGTGATGAAGCTTTTCCTGGGGTTGGGAGGTAGACGTGGCAGTAATGGACTGGGGCATATGGCACATTTAAGGCTTTTAAACGTAATGAACGGGTCTGGAGACAGTCAGGCTCCCAGGCCGCCGAGGCCATCAGTAACAGAGGGTGGGCTCAGCTCCGTCCCTGCACCTACACACATGTGCTGGGTACAGCCCTGGCCCTACCCCGACCCACCCACTGGGGGTAGAACAGTGAGCAGACAAACGCCTGCCCATGCAGACAGACACGGCTCTTGGGAAGCCTGCACAGACCCTGGCTGCGGGCAGGGAGCCGAGTGTCCCGTCCTCTCTTGCAGATCTTCCTGGCTGTGGCCAACTTTGACCCCAACGAAAAGGGCCAGGAGTTCTCCGTCATCTACAAATGGAGCCCGAGAAAGCTGCGGTTCACGCCCTACCAGAGGGTGGCCACCCACAGCGCCCGGGACTGGGAGGCCTTCGAGGTGGCTGGGGAGCACTTCCTGGCCGTGGCCAACCACAGGGAAGGTAGGGCTGTGACCTGCAACCCGAAGGTGACCCTCCCAGGGGCGGGCATGACTCACCTGCCAGGCTCGTCTTCATCTCATTAAAAACGACAATAAATCACAGCAGCCCGATTCCTCGGGCTCAGCCACCCGGTGTGACCTCTGAGGGTGAGCACACCTGAGCACCTCCCATCTGTCCAGGTAGGAAGACTGGTGGTCAGTGCCGCCCCCAGGAGAGTCGCCACGGAAATGAGGGCCACCTGGCTGCCCAGACTGCCTCATTTAAAACTAACTAACTGACCAACTAACTCACCTCCTTCTGGGAGGATCTGACTGACATGGTGGGAAGGTGACCTCTCTGACCAGCAGGCCCAGGGTCAGCCCAGGGGCGGGGTGTGGACAGGTGGGGGTGTCGCTGGAAGGATGTAGACCTGGTTTCTGAGAACAGGTCATCGTGTGCACCCAGACTCTGTGAATCGTGGGTGTGGTGGGGGACAGGCTTCGAGGGGCCGGCTAACCTTGTTTCTGGGCCAGCAATCCCCCACCTCAACTAGTGACCTCGGCAAGCCCTTCCCCGTCCTGTGACTCAGGGCCGGACGGGTCCAAGGTGGCTGCGGCCCTGCAGGGCATCTCTAGCTCAGGCCTCAGTGGGCTCCATGCTCAGAGTTTCCCTGAGCCCGAGACCCACAAGGGAGCTCTGTGGGGGCCTGAGGAGCCCCCACCACCCGCTGATGGGCAGGGCGACCCCAGGAGCCCGCTCACCATGCTCTCCATGGAAGTGAGAGGCTGGCCAGGGGGGCCCCAGGGAGCATGCGGCCTGACCTGTGGGAGAGGTGGGAGCCAGGGGGCCCTGGGCTGTGACAGGTGAGGCTGGGAAGAGGCAGGGGGCTCCACCTCCAAGACCCTGAAGGCCATGGGGAGGGTCCTGAGCCACCCAAAGGGGAGCCCCCCGAGGGCTTTCATCTGGGCAGAGGCAGGAGTGAGCCGCCTGAAGGGCGTCCTCGCTGGGGCGTGAGGGTGCAGGAGAGTGTGGGGTGAGCAGGCCATGCCCAGAGTGGCCCAGGCCTGGCTGGACCAGACAGGCAGCAGGGCCCCTGGGGCAGGGTCCAGGGGGGCCTCGGCAGAGCTCCGTGCCCACTTCCTCAACGCAGCCGCTTGGCTTCCAGGAGATAACCACAACATCGACAGCGTCATCTACAAGTGGAACCCTCGGACGCGCCTGTTCGAGGCCAACCAGACCATCGCCACCTCCGGCGCCTACGACTGGGAGTTCTTCACGGTGGGGCCCTACTCCTTCTTGGTGGTGGCCAACGCCTTCAACGGCACGTCCACCAAGGTGCACTCCCACCTGTACGTCTGGCTGGTCGGCTCCTTCCGGCTCTTCCAGTCTTTCCTGGTAAGGAACGGCACTGCGCCCTGCGCCCCAGGGCCTACCTGACCCCACACAGCGCTGGTGATGCCGGGTCGGGGCCCCAGCCAGGACCGGTGCCGGTTGGGACCTTCACCCCTGTGCCTCCACCCCAGGTGCCTCCCCTGAATAAGGCTCAGGCTGAGTCATGTTGCACACGGCAGCCTCCCCCAAAAGAGCCTGGGGAGCCCTAACATGAGAGGAGGGGTGCGCTGGCTTGGCTGTCCCTATGTCACAAAGATGTCCTGGCTGCGCCGGGTGCTCAGACTGGCCTCCTGACCCCCACTGTCTGGCCACCCCTGGGTGTCAGGCTCCTGCCCTGGGGCAGGCGGACAGCTGACCACTGACCTGGCCACATGTGGCGGGTGGGGGCAGCACTCTCCATGTTCCCTCAGACCTCGAGGTCCCTCAGCTGGTCCCGGTCGCCATGGGCTGGCTGGCAGGACCTGTGATCAGGCTGCAGGAGTATTTATTAGGGTGGTCAGCATTAGACACCCTGCGGACCTCACGTGTCCCAGGCGGCTGTGACGTGGACCATGACAGGAGCGCAGGAGCAGGGCGGGGCCGTGCATGTGCCAATCGCAGGGCAGGAGCTGCGGCCCCGGACGAGGGAGGTGGCAGCAGCATCTGGAAGCTGTGGAGGCTTCTAAAGCACGTTCAGGAAGCTGAATTCACGAGAGCTGTTGACTGGACAGTGAGGCCGGGAAGAGCCAGCATGACTCCAAGGTTAATACTCAGGGTGCTGTTTCCCAGGTGGGGTGGGGGGTTCACTGGGGGAAACAGGACTGGGGTGAGGCATTATTCTTTTTATTTTTTTAAATATATTTTTATTGATTTCAGGGAGGAGGGGAGAGGAGAGAGAGACAGAAACATCAGTGATGAGAGAGAATCACTGATTAGCTGCCTTCTACACACCCCACACTGGGGATCAAGCCCGCAACCCGGGCATGTGCCCCAACCAGGAATCGAACCATGACCTCCTGGTTCATAGGTCGAAGCTCAACCACTGAGCCATGCTGGCTGGGCCTGTGAGGTAACTTCTGCCACTAGTCCTCTCTTACTCGTGGGAAACTGAGGCTCCTTACACGTTGTTGGTCATTGCTGTGGTGGCTAAGCACATGGAGACTCGGGAACACAGTGCAGCCGTCCTGTGAGAGGAGGAGGTGCTGGGGGCGTGCGTGCTGATCTGAAAGGGCTCAGCAATGGGCTGGCCCAGGTCTGCCCAGGGGGACGGGATCTCTGACTGGAATTAGCCCGAGGAGGTGCAAAGGCGTCTGGGTTAGGGGGGGCGGGACAAGGCTGAGGTGGTAAAGCAGGTTCCCGAGGATGTAGCCTTGGGAGGTGGGGCTGATGGCTAAGTCCCTGGTGGACCTGAGGACCCAGAGCCGGGAAGGCTTGGGGCAGAGGGTGGCTGAGTGCCCAGGGCCCCCGGGAGAGGGTCAGTGATGGAGGGAGCGTTGAGCCAGGCAGGCGGATGGGACGCATGGAGGTGCTGCACGGAGTGGCCAGCGGGTGTGCAGGTGGCGGGGAAGCTGTGGGCTTGTTGGAAACAGTCTCCACCAAGAATGTAAATGTCCAGAAGCAAATGAAAAGAAAGAAAGAGGCAAGAAAGTTGGTTAAGATCCACCTCTGTACGGAGGGTGGTGTGAGAGAGCACCCTCCTGTGGTCCCCACTCCCAGAAGGGACCTGGGAGGGGCCGGGCTCAACGCGGGCGGATGCTCCAGGGAGAGGGTGCTTTCTCCAGTGACTTCCGCTGGCTCTGGGAGGCAGGAGCTGGCAGTGGCCCAGGCAGCATGGCTTGGAGGGTCTGCTGGGTAGGGGGAGCTCGGAGGGGTACCCAGAGTGTGGTGCTCTCCGCAGCCTCCCAGGATAAGACCACTGCCCACCTTAGCCAGCTGCCTGCAGTGAGGATGGCAGCATTGCCCCACGACCCTTTGGGTGTCTTCCCCTGGCAGTGTCCCCACCCCCCTGCCCTCTCCCGGGCACTCCCACCCCCTTGGTTCTTTGTTCCATCCAAGCTGGAACCCGAGGACCTCCTTGCCCACACTGGTCCGATGACCCTGGGAGGCCACCCACCCTCGAGGGAGGCTGTCAGGGGCTCCAGAGGCTCCAGGCGGCACCATCACCCCAAGAGGTGCTCCCGAGCCCCCGGCGCCATGCCAGGCTGGCAGGGCAGGGCTCCGGGGGAATTCCCTTGGAAGGAGGGAAGGAGGGGAGAGCCGCCCAGCCCAGCAGGTGCCTCAGGCTGCTGCCGCCCCAGGCAGCTTCAGACCTGCTTCCCAGTGCAGGGAGCCCAGCCTCTGGCCCAGGGTGCAGGTGTTGGCCCCGCTCTGGGGGCTCCTGGCAGCCACGCTGTGGGGATGAGGGGTCACTGACAGTAGTGACTGTGACCCAGCCAGCCCCATGCAGGTCTCTGCTGGCCTGTGGCCAGATCAACTACAGGGTGCCTGTTCCATTTGAATTCTAGAGAAACAAGAAATGACTTTTTAGTAAAAGCATGTCCTGGGTATTGCATGGGATACACAAGTCCTGGAAAATTGTTGTTTCTCTGAAATTCGCATGGAACGAAGCTCCTCGTATTTGCTGTATTGGCTCCAACTGGCCGGGTACACGGAGCAGAGGCGGGATGACAGCCCCTCTGAGCCACGCCCACCTGACACTCCTCCCTGCCTCCCGCCCCCGCCACACCTCAGGGCCTCTTCTTCCCCTGCTGCCAGTGCCCCAGCACCCTCCCGGGCCCCCTTCTGTCACCCTTGTGCTGGGGCTCAGGAGAAGGGAGCGGTCTGAGTCCAGTGGCTCAGAGCCCCAGGAAGTGCTGGGGGAGATCCTCTCTTACAGCTCCTGGCCCCTGAACTGTGTGGGAGTGCCCGTGTGCACGCATGCATGCAGGAGGTGTGCACAGGTGTGTGTCCACGCAGGTGTGTGCACACAGGGATGTACATTTACTCGTGCACACGTGTGTGCTGTTTCCCATTGACATGGTCTCCCCAGCACAGGTCAGAGGAGCTGGGATCTACTAGTAACAGTCTGACATCTCCTGTTCGGTTTCTGGGAAGTCACCGCCGCATGTGTGTGACTCTCAGCCCCGTGTGGGTCTGTAACTGTCGCTGTCTGTGAAGCAGCCACCGGGTGGGTGATGCTGAAGGCCCCTGCGGCCCCCAGTGTCCGAGCCTGCTCAGAGGTCGTGGGGCGCCCCAGGGAAAGAATGGTGCCACCTCCCGGAGCCGCGTGGAGGAGAGGACAGGCTGATCCAGAAAGGCCTTACCAAGCTCAGGGACCGCCAGGTGTCTGGTTCCGGTCCTTGTCCTAGTGAGTCAGCCTTTGGCTTCACCTTACTTGGCTCCGCTCCTCAGGACCGATCCAGACCTGTTTCTAGAGCTCCTGGCTCCGAGCCCAGCTTAGGGGCCCCCAGGAATGTTCTCAGCAGCAGCTACCTGGGCTGGGCTGAGGCGGACAATGTCGCCCTCTGCTGGGCGTGGGGAAAAACACTGTCCCCTGCCACAGTGCCCTGCCAGGGTCTCCCTCTCTCACCCCTGGGCCTCTCCCTGCACCTGCCCCTCGCTCCCCAGGAAAATGGCTCCTTTCGTTTCTGCCCTGCCCTCTCTCTCCGGAGCTCAGGCCAGGGCCTGGATCTGGATTTCTCTGGTCCTCTCCTCCCCCTGCACCAGCACCGCCATTAGGCCCGAGATGCTGGCCGTGAGCTACACGTCACCTTCCTCCTCGTGGGCCCCACATGCCAATCAGCTCATGCAGCTCGCGGTCGGGGGCACAGGCTCCACAGCAGGCCACTCGCGCCAAAGCCCAGCCCTGTTGACCCTGCACACCTCAGCCTCGAGGGTGACAAGTGATTTAGGAGCAGCAGCGTGCACGGGAACCCAGAGATGGGGCTGTGGGGAGAACCAAAGGAGAACCCCAGGCAGGAACAGCTCATAGTGAGAAACACACGAGGTACCTACAGGTTGCTTCAGAGTTCAGGGCCAGACTGGAGGAAGCAGGGAGGGCTCCCTGGAAGAGGTGTGGTAGCAGCTAGACCTTGAAGGAAGGGCAGCCTTGGGGCTTGGGGGAGTGGGTGGCACAGATGGCTAAGAAGCAGTCACCCCAGATGGCACCGTTCAGGTACAGGAACAACTGGCACTCATGTTTGTAAAGGGAGTGAGAGTCGCTGCCGTGGGAAATTGAGCAAATCCAGGCTGGAGAGCGGGGACCTTGCCTGACGAGCTCGGCGGGGTGTGTGTGTGTGTGTGTGTGTGTGTGTGTGTGTGTGTGTGTGTGGCGTCACTTGGCGGCTCCTGCCGTCTCTGTTCATGAGTGTGCCCTGCCCTCCTCTCCTTCCCTCCCAGACATTTGGCGCCGCGGACTGGGAAGTCTTCCATATTGGAGACAGGATCTTTCTCGCTGTTGCCAACAGTCACAGCTACGATGTGGAAATGCAAGTGCAAAATGACTCCTACGTCATCAACTCGGTCATCTACGAGCTGAACGTCACCGCACAGACATTCGTCAAGTTCCAGGAGATCCCGACCTGCAGGTATGGCTGGGAGGGAGGGCAAGGCCGGCCGGGCACAGCATCGGGTCGGCTCACAGCGACCTTCCCCGCTGCGCCCCCACCGAGCCCACCCTGAGGAGGCGGCAGGCCCAGCCTCCTGCACGGTCCCCAAAGCCACACGCGGTGGCCACCAGCACAGAAGGCTGCCTGCATCCCTCGTCGGTGGGGCGTGGCCTCACTCCTGCATGTTGCAAGGCTTCTCCAGGGCCAGTGGAGGGATTCTGTGGCTCATGTTTATAATCTTGACTCTAATTCCTTTGAAACAGTGTGGTTCGTTTGTATTAAATTCACAGGTATGTGCAACCATCACCACAGGTGATTTTAGGACATCACATGCCTGGGAAAGAAACCCCCTGCCTTTCACTGTCACCCCTCCCCCTGGTCCCCAGCCCCTGGCACCACCAGTCGGCTGCCGGTCCCCGCGGACCCCTGTGGTGGACATTCACACACAAGAACACGTGTCATGCTGCATTCCTGTGTGGCCAAATGATAGGCATCGTGTGGACAGACCACATTTCACTCACCCAGTTGTCCGTTGATGCACATGTAGGTCGTTTCCACCTTTTGACTAAGTGCAGTTGTTCTAAAGAATAAAAACCAAAAAAAACCCTCAGAGGATAGGGCAGTGATGGCGAACCTATGACACGCGTGTCAGAGGTGACACGCGAACTCATTTTTTTGGTTGATTTTTCTTTGTTAAATGGCATTTAAATATATAAAATAAATATCAAAAATATAAGTCTTTGTTTTACTATGGTTGCAAATATCAAAAAAATGTCTATATGTGACACGGCATCAGAGTTAAGTTAGGGTTTTTCAAAATGCTGACACGCCGAGCTCAAAAGGTTCGCCAGCACTGTCCTGACACCCCCTCACTCCCGGGGTCCTGCCCGAGCACCCTGCTCTCGGCCAGGGCTCTCAGTCCCCACCGGGAGGGAGCCTGCAGTGAGTCTCCGCCAGACAGGGGGCCCTCTGCTGCCCGACCAGGCCTCAGCCCAAGGCCACCAGACACAGACTCACTGGCCGGGCCTCGGGGTCTGACCGACTAGTGTGTGGCTGCAGCCTCAGTTTCCTCACCTGTGAGGTGGGCACAGGGCCTGCAGTCACCAGAGAGGTGATGGTGGGGCCTCCTGGAGGGACAGGGTTCTGGGGTGGTCTCCCAGGAAGTTATCTGTCAGAGCCCTCAGAACTGACCGAGTCTGCACAGACTCATCCTTAGCCGATTCAGGAGCTTCTCGACTAAGACAGAATGCACGTGTCCGTTTGCAACAAGACACACAGCTTCCCAGTGGAGGGGACCGTTTCTATGTGGGCACCTTATTGGTGTCCGGGAAGGAGCGGGAAGGGGAGCGGGGATGGCAACTTTCCTCACGTTTCCACCTCCAGGGTGCTGCCAGCCCTTAGGAACGCCCCTGAGCTTAGCACTTTTCTGATTATATCAACCCCTTCAAAGTGAAAGACTTTGTACCCATTTCATAGCAACACCATTCACACTTGCAACCCAAGTGTCCATCGACGGGTGAAGGGATAAGCCACTGTAGACAGTATTCAGCCTTAACGAGGAATGAAATTCCAACAAGGCTACCACATGGGAAAACCTAGAGGACAAGACGCTGCGTGAAATAAGCCGGACACACAAAGAATGGAAAGTTCCGGAGATGGATGGTGGTGGTGGTTGCACAACACTGTGAATGTGCTTAATGCCACCGAGCTGTGCACTTAAAAGTGATTAAAATGAGCCCTGCTGGAGTGCTCAGTCGGTTGAGCGTCGTCCCATGCACCAAAAGGTTGCCGGTTCAACTCCCAGCCAGGGCACATACCTGGGTTGCAGGTTTGATGCCCAAATGGCAACCCATCTCTCTCTCTCTCTCTCTCTCTCTCTCTCTCTCTCTCTCTCTCTCTCTCTCTCTCTCCCCCTCTCTAAGCACATCCTTGGGTGAGGATTTTTAAAAATTGTTAAAATTTTATATGTATTTTACTATAATTGAAAACATTTTTTTAATTTCAAGTGAATGACTAAACTCCCTGTGTGGCTGAGAAAATCACTCCCTTCGGGCCTGGCCCCTCCTCTGTGGGTTTGAGGTCGGGCCTGGGCCCCAAGTTCTGGGATTAGGAGAACTGGCTGGAAACCAGCATCCGAGCTCTGGGGTACCTCAGGCTCCGTGCCCTAATGCCTGTCCCCTAACATTGGCCCCTAATGCTGTCCCCTTGTTCCCACAGCGCTCTGGATTGGGAGTTCTTCTCAGTGGGCGAAGATTACTTCTTGGTGGTTGCCAACTCCTTTGACGGAAATACCTTCTCAGTAAACAGTATTATTTACAGGTAAACAGCTGGGAAGGCGGCACCCTTCTCCCCACCTGGTTCACCTGGGATAGCCCCCCCTTCCCTGCCCAGTCCCAGTCATGCCCTGGGTCAGCCAGGTGACCCTAGTCATGCCAATGCTCACATCCTTGAGTCTGGCCGGGTGCAGTGTGCAGACACAGGATTCTATCACATGTTCCCACCCAGGTCGCCGGCAGGGCTCCCCCCGTGTCACGCGCCTTCGGGAACAGTTCACGTCCTCACACGGGCACTGCGCCACCCTTGCTACGTTCACTCTGGCTGTTGCTCACGTACTGTAAGCACAGCGCTTGGGTTTTCCAGTCCCGTTTCCAGCTGCTTTTTGTGACAATTTCTGTGTCTAGCCACCCGGCCAACCCACCAAACGATCAACTCTGACCGTTTTTTGGAGCAGAGGCGCATGGGAGTCCTGAGAACACAACTGCCTCTCTGAATACCAGCCAGTTGGCCTCTTTCCTGCTCGTGTTTTCACTGTTTACCTGGTGTTCCCAGTAGCTGGAACCTCCCGGAGCCCGTGAGGCCAGCAGTGTGCCCGGCTGACGTGGTGAGCGCAGGCTCAGGGCCGCGGGGCTGAGCAGGACGGGGGCCGGGCCGAGGCCGCTGGTCCCGTGGGCCAGCATTCCTCCGTGTGCGGCCTGGCTCTTCTCTGTTAATCTGTTGACGCAATGACTTCTGAGAGGTTTCTTCGAATTCCTGGGACCAGTGCCACTCGATCCTATGTAATTACTTACTATGCCAGTGGCTACCAATTGTTTCGGAATGATTTAAGAGCTTTGCATCTTTAATAGGAACTGAAATTGGTCTGTGGTTTTCTTCTGGGGCCGCACCTCTACCCAGGTTGAGGTGGAGCCTGACTCAATAGGTACCCGCTACCAACTTGTCCACCCAGGCCTCTGGGCTGGAGAACTTCAATAGTGGGATTTAGCTATTTCCTTTGTGATTAGGTTACACCCCGCTCTAAAGCCACCTGGGCCAGGTCCCTTTTCCAGCGTCTCCCGTGGTCATTGGCGTAACCAGGTTTTCCGTCTCTTCTTGAGACAATTTTGGTCATCTATGTTTTACTAGGAAAATCAACTTTCTAATTTTTTTGCTGTAGAGTGTTCAACATGACAGCATAATTTTAAAATTAATTAAATTCATTAAGACTAAATTTTCGAACATGGCCAAGAAAAATTGGAAGAATGAAAACAGGGAAGGAGGCTCTGGCGGTGTGCCAGGAAAGCCGTGTGGCTTTTGCAGAAATAAACCTGTAGGGGGGTGTAATACACTCCACAAGAAAGCCAATAATTACGGCCATTTAATGTGATAAATGTTGTATTTCAATTCAATGAAAAAGGATGCATGACTTAGTAAAATAATTTGTATATCATTTTCTGTCCATCTGGAAGAAAATACAGCTCTATTCCTGCTTCATATGATATAGAAAAAGAAGTTTTATGAGGATTAGGCATCTAAATGTAAAAAGTTGAACTATAGAAATATTAGGGAAAAGCTAAGATGATTTTTTTACAACCACAAAGTTGTACAAGAAGACATGGCGATCTCCTTAAACAAGGCTGGAAATAGGTCACCTGGCTGACTACCTACCTTTAAAAGTTTTAAATGGAAAAAGACATCCTATTCAAAATCAAAAGACAAACTTTACCACACTTATGACAGAAAAGGAACCCCTACAAAATAATAAAATATTTTTTTAATTCAGAAAAATGGGCAAAATATTATGAACAGGAATTTTCAGAAGAAAACAATGAAAGATGTGAATAAACATTGGACGTTGTTATTCTCAAAGCAGGAGGATGACACATTCTCTTTCCTCCGTTCTTCTGGGAGTGATGCGTGGAAGGGGGGGGGGGGCAGCAGAACCCTGGCCCTTTCCCATCAGGACAGGGACCGCCCGGCCTTTCTGGAAAAATAACAAAATTAAAACGACTCCTGCCTTTGAACCCAGCACCCGCTGTGAGAGCGCCACCCTACAAAAGTTGGAACCACCTGTCAGTAAATCCCTTTTGAAGGCAAAACCCGGAAACCGCTGACTGCATGAGCAGCGGGCCATGGGCCGGGTTCCAGGTCCAAACTGGGGGGGCAGGGAGGTGCAGAGCAGTGTGCCGGGAACGTGCTTCCTTCGCGGAAAAGCAGGGGTGCCATACCCATGTTGTGGCAGGTGTGTGTCTGAGGGCAGGCGCCTCAATGTCAACTGTGGCCCAGGAGTGGGGACGGTGTGGGCTTAGTTACCCCTCAACACTGCCAGGACCCCCCCTGCCACTGCCCCCTCCCACCCCCACCCCCAGGTGGCAGAGTCCCCAGGGCACTCTGGCCGGGACCAGTGTCTGGGTGGACATGAGGAGCTGCAGGTGGTGGACAGGGCAGGCTCCTCCTTCCAGGCCTCCATTTCCCCCTTTGCAGGCTCCTCGTTTAGCTCTCTGAGAGCATAACCAGGCAGCTGTGCTGCCCGGGGACATGTGGCCCCTCTGTGCTGTGCACAGGGGGGAGGCGGGGGGAGGCCTGGAGAAGAGCACAGAGGGCCAGGCTGCCCACTGGGTGGGGCAGGAGCCCAGGGAGTGCGCAGCCTGGACGTGCGGGCAGCTTCTCCCCGCCCTGCCAGCCGCCTGGCACAGACCGCCCGCCCGAGGCTGACGTGTCTCTCCCGCAGGTGGCAGGGGTACGAAGGCTTCGTGGCTGTGCACAGCCTCCCGACCTTCGGCTGCCGGGACTGGGAGACCTTCCGCACCACGGCCGGCTCCTACCTCGTCTACTCCAGCGCCAAGGAGCCCCTCTCCCGGGTGCTGAAGCTCAGGACAGGGTGATGGGCCTGGCCCCCGGGAACAGGACCCACCTCACTGCACCCCGGAGCCCCCCGAGAAGCCCTGGAACCTCTGGGGAGATGCTCCTCGCTTCCAGAGCTGCCGTCTCGCTGTCCTGGCCCTCCCCCAACTGGAGACGTCGGTCACCTCTCTGGTCTGGTGCCCAGCGTGGACAGATGCCGGGGGCTCGTGGGTGTTCGCCCGGAAACCAGAGCTGCCCTGCGGGGGTGTCGCTTCACAGGAAAGTTCATACAACTGTTTACCTCACACGCAGAAGCCGGGCACCTTCCCTGCGGCGTCCGTTTGGGGCCTGGCCACGCTGCCCTGGTTGTCGAGCCCAGACGGGGAGCAGGCGTGAGGCTGTCCTCCACGTTCATGCAGCTATTTATTGTTCGTTGTCTACACTGAAATATATTTATGACTCTTTACACAGAGCAGGGCTGCGTCTGCGTGTTTCTGGGGGCCTCGGCTCTCCGTGAGCACGTCCTGGGGCCTCGCTCTGCCACCAAAGCGGAGGCGCCCCCAGGTCCCTAGTCACCAGTGCCGTCGGGGGACACCTCTCCTACACAGAGCTGCTTCCTCCGGCCTCAGTTTACCCCTCACTGCAGCTGGTGGGTGTGCAGGATGGACTGGGCTGCCTCCGCGGGGCCAGTGCTCCCTCGGCTCCGCCTTAACACCCCGAACCCTCCACCAGGGGGGCCTCCTGCCTCCCAGGGATGCTGCTGGGGTGACAGGACACCCTGGGAACCTGGAGGGGGAGGGGGGAGGGGGGGAGGGGCGGGGCCAGCACCACCCAGGCCTCGGGTGGATGGGAATGCTCCGCGCCAGAGGCTTTGCGGGGGAGGCCGCGGGGTCCACGTGGAGCCAGGAAACCACCGGTGGTCGCAAGGCCAGGCCCGTCCCGCTGTCCGCGCCGCCTGCCCTGGGAGGCGACTGCCGCCCGAAAGAATGTGGGACCCTGCGGAGCTGAACAGCCGGGGGGCCCCACGTGGGTTGAACGCTCTGCCGTTTCCTCCTTAAAGCTCTCAGTGATTTTTGCCCAAGATCACACAGCCAGGGCACAGTGGCGGCTCCGGCCCCGGAGCCCTGGCTCCCCGTGGTCAGTTCCCCACAAGGACAGGGTGGGCGCCCCACGGCCCAGGGAGGAGGCCTACACTGCGTCCAATCAGATTGGGGGTTTCCAGGCCCTAAGCAGGGCCCTTCTGACTTCTGAAGGCTGAGATTTTTCTAGAGCCTCCTCCATGCCTTGGGGAGGGTGGGGCTGGCCCCAGACAAGGATGTCCCCTCCCCAAGGACAAGAGCAGAGGGCAGGGGTGGGGGCGGGGAGAGGTCTGGGGCCAGGCCAGGGCACCTGTGAGAGAGAAGCCCCGGCGCCTGCATACCCCTGGAACCCCACAGGCATGGACCTCCCCCACTC